TTCTTCCTTCATACTATACTTCATACTAAGAATAATACATATTATTATTACTATACATTATTATACACACATTTTCCACTTTTGACCTTTCCACATTTATTCTCCTCTATTATTTCTAGTCTCCAACCAGTCATACCACTTGTTCCATATTAGATAGTACTCTGTGTCTTCCTTTTCTTTTATCTCTTTTGTTAATTTGGGGGACCCCTGCTCTAAAGGACAGAATTATATCCTGTATCTCCTAACTAGCCTAATAATTTCACTTGTGCTAATGATGATGGCCTTATTACAAGTTTTTAACTATGTTTAAAACATAGTTGGATGTGCCGTCTCTTCCTTTGTTTCAAGGAGCAAATTCATCAGCTACCAATGAAAACAATTTTTCAAAGTCTCTGCCTATATTTGGATTGATGGTAGACATGTTTGGCACACACAACCTATATGAGGTTCTTAAGTCACAAAAGGAGACTTATACGTCAAGTGCCATTAACTAATTTTAGGCATTTCACTTAAGGGTCTTACTCTATCAGCCTCTCTTTAGCTGATTTCAAAACACCACAATATTCATTATGGACAGTCACAGATGAATACAATTCAGTATTTCAATTCACTTGAGCACGAAGTAAATTAGTCCAGTTATAGCTGGAAGTTTTCTATTCCATTGGATGGGATCTTTCTATCCCAAAGCCTTGTCTTCCCATTGCAAACAAATAGAGGAAATCTGTATTTGGAAGGAAGTTGGGGGATGCATATGATGGCCAGATCAAAGTCTAGTCATAATACAATCATGATTTCTGAGAGGCAGAAATATTTAGACACAGCACTAGGTCATTATCAGTAATATGCAGCACTTAGTGTTTCCTATAGCAACTTATAGTTCCTAGAGTTCACCTCAGGACAACCTGATAAAAGTCCACTGTGATAAGAGTAAATACGCTTGTGGTAATCCTGGTTTCCATAATTTAGGAACAGCTGCAAAGCGGCTCAGAAATTATGAAATGAAGGAGTCACTGAACCCGTGGAAGATAAAAGGTGATGGGCACTTTAGTACAGGAAATGCTTGCAACTTTTTAATACATGTGCTTAAATTAATGGCTAAGTTCTATTAATAAAACATGCTTGAAAGATTGTAACAGTGCATTTTATAAATTTTGATTAATACTTATATAGTAATGCCACAGTATTAATGAAGAAACAGTCATCTTTGATGGCCTAAAATTGAAAATAAGGTTTAATATAAATTAAGAAAGTACATTTGATTTTTTTACTTTTTTGTAAGCTCTTCTTGGTTAGAATTTATTTTCTAGTTTATTAATTTTTCTTCCAGTTATATTTTATTCCGTAGCAATATAAACTCTGCGTGAGTTCTAGAATGGTATAAAATTTTATGACATTGTAATAAACATTACCTAAGGCATTATGATCTATAAATATTCAAATGCATTGCTCAATGGTTCTTATTTTTATTTTAAATGTATAAAAAAATTTACATCAATCAAGATTTTCAATGTTATAATCAGATTATCAATACAATTCTTGTCAGCTAAAACAATAACTTTTTTAAAAAAATCAGCATCAAAATAAAATGTATCTATATTTATTCCTCCTCTTTGCAATTTTTTTGTAACTTTCATTTATTTTTCATAGAAACCAAGTATTTTATTTCTCATTAATTTTAGAAATAAAAACACATTACTAAACTAATAGTTTAGTGAAATTTTTAGTACTAGGATTTGTTTCCCCAAACTTGAAAAACAGTATTTTGGACAGTCTATATGTCTCCTTTGTGATTTGGTGTTTTAAAATTGCTTCTCTTCTGTCTACTTATTGAAGACTCTAATAAACTTAAAACTTATTTCTAAACAGCTCCAAACAGATAAGGTGCAGACAAACAGTACATCCTAATATTTTTTAGCATATTAGGGAAGATTCGGTTTAACAAAAACATTCCAAATATGGTAAAATCACCTCCTAATTTTACATGAATAAGAGATTCAAAGAGGGTACAATTCAAGTTTGTAATTCAAGTTTCAGTCGTGGGTGGGTGCAATGCCAGCAGCTTTTTAAAATCGGAGAAAATGCCCTGTTGGGTCAGGTCATGTTGCTATCTGGATATGCTAGAATTTCAACCTTTTAAAGCAAACTCTTGGCACTTCTGTTACTTCTGACATGTGGGTCTTTTGCTTTTGTAAAGCACTCTGTGAACAGATGCTTGGCTGGCAGGATGTACAAACAAACATTACCTAATTTATGGGAAAACATTGCAGATCTTATTCTGTGTTAGATGTGCTCAATTATTCTTCATTTTACTTCCCGCATTTGAGAGTATCTGATTTTACAATGCTTTCCTATACCTTCTCCTTTGGACATAACAATCAGGCCATTTCTTCTACTCTTGTCCATATTTTTTTACAGGCTGCTTTGCCAGTTGATCTTATCTTTTTCCTCCTCAATTAAAACATGATACATTATTTGATAAATTCCCTCTCTGCAAGATTTGAAATAGGTTTATGAGACTCTATGAAAGCTGTGTGGGATTTAATCAGAAAGACTATTTACTACAATTAGGTAATTGTGACGTGGCATTATCATGCATACATGGTATAATTTCAGCTTTGGCTCCTGTCTTTGACAGTACTAATATGTTTCTGAATTCTTGTTTATATGGATTATGCTCGTATAAAAAAGAGACACCTGACGTGGCAATGCTACATGTAAAAAGGAACTGGTGAAACATAACCAGCTTTTTAATTGCACTAAGAAAGTAATACATTTTAAGGTCTTTCCTTACTGCTGAGTTGAATTACCATTTGCTTATCCTTGAATCAGCAGAATATCAAAGCTGCATGAAATTTGCTGTCCTTCCACTTTTGCTGTTTCAAGTCACTGTTACCTGCTGCACTTGAGTCAAGGTGCCAAAGTAACAAAATTTAACAGATTTTATATATCTTAAATCCAGTCCTGTATGGTTTCAAGATAGGATAGTAAATGCTATTTTAACACTGGTACCACTAATGGATAATTTAAGACTTAATTATTCTGGGTGTTGATGAAGGAGAAAAAAGATGATGAGGCATGTTTGTGCCCTTGTTAACTGCAAGTAGTTGATGGCAATAGAAATAATACTTAGACTTATATACCACTTCACAGTGCTTTATAGCTCTCTCTAAGTGGTTTACAGAGTCAGCATATGGCCCTCAACTATCCGAGTCCTCATCTTACTGACCTCAGAAGGCTGAGTCAACCTTGAGCCACTCAGAATCAAACTCCTGGAGTGAGTTAACCTACAGTACTGCATTCTAACCACTGTGCCACCACAGTCCTGATATACCATATCCTACAAAAGGTGTTAACTAATTGGACTAAAAAAACAGCCAAGATATGAAAGAAGCCAGAAATCTAGTTTTAGGAGAACTAATGAAAGGACTAAGTATTTAACCAGGGACGAGACGATTATGGGAAGACAACATAGTTATTTTCAAATAGCTGAAAGGCTATCCAGCAGAAAATGGAAATTGGAATCATAGGAAAGATTTTGTCTAACGATTGTAGGAAACTTTCTAATATTGGAATATCTTTCAATGGGGTCTTTTGCAGTAGAGATGTTTAAACAGAAGTCAGATAATCATGCTACAATGGGGGTCCCCAATCCCCAGGCCACAGCTCACTACCGGGCCGTGGGCTGTTTGAAACTGGGCTGTGGGATAGATGGACAAGTGTGTAAGTACAAGCACCATCCAATCGCACACGAAGCTCCATTCGCATGAGTTGAAGGCCCGTGCACCTGCTGCTACCACAAATTGAACTGTGCGCATGTGCGTGTGCTCCTACCACTCCCATGCCCCATCCCCATCGGGGCAAGCTGTCAAGCTAGAAAGTTTGGGAACCACTGTGCTACAACATCATCCCTCACTGGATAGAGAACAGTTTTAGAAAATACCCAAAGTCCATTGGAACTGTCTTATGTTGTAAAATCAGTGGGAATTACATTTGATGTGTTCCGTTTTTGCATAAAAGAATTTCCCAAGCTAAAAGGTGGTAATCACATGACAGAGATGACTTTGCTATTGGATCCTGGCTGAATGTTCAGATGTAGCATAAAACAATTGGCTTAACATCTCTTAACTTTTAAACAATGGCCTCTTGTTTGTCCACAGTCAAGGATGTAGTCAGCAATAAAATTAAGCACTTATTTCAAGTTTTTCTAGTAGGGCCCTTCCACAATACTAAATTGAGAAAAGTTGGCTAAAATAACATTACTTCAATATAATTATATTTGTGTTGTTGTTTTTTTACTCAAAAATTAGCACATAAACTCAGAGCAGGTCAGATCCTTAGCATGGGAGCATGTTTTTCATCCTTTTGTTCCTGCTGGAGTCATTTGTTCTATGGAGCCCGTCATTTTCAATTTATACTACAAAAATAAAAACCCAGAAATAAATGAAACATATGGGTAATTTGGAGACAGAATAAATGTTGGGGACAAATGTTTAAAGGGTTTTCATCTTCATGATATGATCCTACTCTATAACAGGATCTAGCTCCTAAATTTTTTGAATCATATGTTTGATGCTAGTAATAATGCTGCACATGCAGTCATAAGTATATTATTTACATGCCATTTCTTTCTTCTGACCTTTTTGCAGAATATGTCAGAATGTCACAATGATCCCGTCTAGCAACAGCACAATCACTTCGTTACTTCCAAATGTCAGCACCTTCTGGATTCGAGATTCCCAAAGAAAAGGACTTCCCAATGAAGCTCCATTGTTTACTAGCACCAATGGCCCTTCCCATGCAAACGAGAGCTTTTTCCTCACTACCATGGGCATGACCAATGTGTCTCATGCTCCTCCTGATCCTCTGGGAGGACATGCTGTCTGGCAAGTTGTCCTGATTGCTCTCCTCACTGGCATTCTGGCCCTGGTCACCATCATTGGAAACATCTTGGTGATTGTGGCATTTAAAGTCAACAAACAGCTAAAAACAGTTAACAATTACTTTTTGTTGAGTCTTGCTTGTGCAGACCTGATAATTGGTGTTATTTCCATGAACCTTTTCACTACATATATAATCATGGACCGCTGGGCTTTGGGAAACTTGGCCTGTGATGTATGGCTTTCCATTGACTATGTGGCAAGCAATGCTTCTGTCATGAATCTGCTGGTCATCAGTTTTGACAGATACTTTTCCATCACGAGGCCACTTACCTATAGAGCTAAACGAACAACCAGAAGGGCTGCAGTGATGATTGGCTTAGCTTGGGTCATCTCGTTCATCCTTTGGGCTCCTGCTATTCTGTTCTGGCAATATTTTGTTGGGGAGCGGACTGTCGAAGACAATGAATGTTATATCCAGTTCCTAAATGAACCTGTCCTCACTTTTGGCACTGCCATAGCTGCCTTTTATTTGCCAGTAACTATTATGAGTATTTTGTACTGGAGGATATACAAGGAGACAGAGAAACGTACCAAAGAGTTAGCAGGACTCCAGGCTTCTGGGAGTGAGGCTGAGGCAGCATGCTTTGTCAACCAAACGGGAAGTTCTAGAAGCTGCAGCAGTTATGAACTACAGCAGCAGGACACAAAACGTACCAAACGAAGAAAATATGGGGGCTGCAACTTCTGGATGACATCCAAGAGCTGGAAACCCAGTTCAGATCAGGTCGATCAGGAGCACAGCAGCAGCGACAGCTGGAACAACAATGATGGCAATGCATCGCTTGATAATTCTGCCTCCTCTGAGGAAGATGACATTGCCTCGGACACTCGCGCCATCTACTCCATTGTACTAAAGCTTCCAGGACATAGTACAATTCTCAATTCTGCAAAACTGCCTTCCTCAGAAGATCTGCCTGGGTCAGAAGATGAACTGCAGAAGTTGAACACAGAGTCAAAGGAGCAGAAACCAAAAAGGCTTAACCCACAAAAGAGCATGGATGATGGGAATTTACAGAAATGCTTTCCCAAGCTTCCAGTTCAATCAGCATCTGCAGTATACGCAGGAAAGGCTTCAAACTGCAATTCTACAGGGATGAAGGCACCTAATGCCTTACCTTTGTCATTCAAGGAGGCCACCCTGGCCAAGAAGTTCGCCTTGAAAACAAGAAGTCAGATCACCAAACGAAAGCGAATGTCACTTATCAAAGAGAAGAAAGCTGCACAGACACTTAGCGCCATTTTGTTTGCCTTCATTATCACCTGGACCCCATATAATATCATGGTCCTGGTAAACACTTTTTGTAAGTGTATCCCTAAAACATTTTGGAACCTGGGGTACTGGCTTTGCTACATCAATAGTACAGTGAATCCTATGTGCTATGCACTGTGTAATAAAACTTTCAGAACCACATTCAAGATGTTACTGCTCTGTCAGTGTGACAAACGCAAACGACGTAGGCAACAATATCAGCAGAGACCATCAGTCATTTTTCATAAGCGGATTCCACGGGAAGCTTCATAGAATAGTATTTTTTAACCACAATAATAAACATTAAAGGGAGGGTGGTTGCTGGAGCCAACTGCATATCTTCAAGATGTGAAAGTAGCAGCCTGGTGTATGTATCCTTTTAATACTTCCTGTATACTGTAACAGTTGAAGCCACATAAAGCAAAAAATGAATTACAAATGTATTTATTAAAGAACAACCAGATATCTGAAAAATTATCTACACAATTCCAAAAAGCTGCATACAAAACTATTAGCGATCTATTCAGTCCTGCACTTGTTAATCCATTCTGGGGATCTCAGGAGAGCACACGTAACTAGCCCACTCCCAATATGTTTTTCTGATAAATCCGGTAGGCTCTAATATGTCACAAATTGGATCTATTTTAAAATGTGGGTATATGTGTGTGTTCCAAATACTGTACAGATGTCCCAAACATCTTAGAGCTTCCCATCTTCTCCTTTTGTAGGTGTAATGTCAATTTGTTGACCCAGTTTATTAAATAACTTGTGCAAGAGCATCCCATGTACTCAGCACTTGCTGTCTGTTTACAGGAAAGGTGAGGTCTTGTCTTTCTCAGCAGTAATTACCATCACTATGAGATGTGAGCAGGGGCCTTGAAAACAGTTTTTCAGAACTCGTTTATATTGTATTGATTTGGGCAATCTTAAAATTGTAACGCCACAAAATATTTTTATGTACAACAGTGAAGAATTTCCGAAGGGTGCATGTTACCCCTATCTATACATTCAAGCAGAAGAACTGAGCGTGTATATTTTTCAAATAGAAATACCTTTTAAACATTAAAATATTCTTTAAACTGGAGAAGGATGGCCCAGTCCAGAAGGAAGAATCCTTACGAGAATTTCATCTTCATGAGAAACTGGGTACAGGCTTTACTTCTGCTTTAAATGTGAGGGTCACAGAGGGACTCAAATTTCCAGTGCAGTACCCAGCATAGCCCTGGGAATCTCTTTAAGTTGTAGAAAAGCTGGAACAGAAAGTCTCATCTTTTTTACAAATTTGAGGGAGGGGAGGGAGGGAGGGAGAGAGAAAGAGAAATCCAGAAAGAGGCTTAAGAATAGTGTCAGCAAAAACTCAGGTCCTTATTTATCCTCTGTTTTTGTTGAAGCGTATGACAAGGACAAAGAATCTATGGAATAAGCACATTACTTCTTTCCAGCTGTCTGCATCAGGCATGCTCCCAAGGAAAATGCACCAGAGTCTTGTCTCTATTTTCTGTACATTGAAAGGCATTTTAGACATGGGATAAATAACTGTATTTTTTTAAAAATGATGAAATGGCACTTTCAATAATGCTTGTCGATTTTGAAAGCTTCTGTTTATTATTATTATTATTATTATTGCTGTTTTTGTTACAAACAGTAGTGGAAATTTCCAGTTTGTGCAGTACAATGTCCCAAGTGAATGTAAGTTGTTTGCCAATTCAAATAGCTAAGCACCTTCTCAGAAAGAGAAAAAAAGGGCTTTAACGTAGCTGAGACACAGTGATCCCTCTTATTTATCAAATCAGTCAGTTCAGCAGAGCTTGGACACGTCCCCCCTTCTCCCCCCCCGCCCCTCTTAGCAACTCCGGCTGGTTCATTCAGGGCTGTGTGCACAGGAAATGTTCCAGAGGGGGTCTGTGTCTCTGCTGTACTTTGTAAAAGTCAGGACATGCCAGAGGAAAGGACTGTACTTTAAGCAATTGTTTCAAATCAGATTTATTTACATTTTTTAAAAAGCAAGAGTTTTATCAGGTTTCTCCCCACCTTTTTTTGTTTTTGATCTGACACTCAGATCTGACAATAAAAAAAAGCAACTTCCTTTATGAAAAGAGGACTCAGTGTTGTGAACACGGAACTGGTATAAAAGCTGCTTTTGTATTCAGTGTGAGATGGTGTTTACAGGTGATTTTGACAACAGTGGAAATATATTAAATAGTGTCTGTGTATCTGAGCTATTTAATTTTGTGATCTATTAATATGAAGAAATATTTATATACATAAATGCCACCAAAATGTTTTATTTAAATGTTGATAAATATTGCTCTTTGGTCTTCAACTGTAATGTCCTTTTCAAGCAGATCATAAAAGTGTTCTTGAAACATGAACACAGTTTCCAAGTTTGTGTATCACAGATTGTGGTAGGTTACATTTATGCATATTGAAAAGATTCTTGATGGGCAACATATCCCCTCAAAATCCTTTGCAAACCCAGGCAGGCATTCTTTCTAAAATTCAAACATGGGGGGGGGAGGGAAGGGATGTTAGAAACCTGTATGTCATAGAACTGGGCATGGGATGAACAATATCCAAAGGGGATGTCTGGGGTGATGAATTAGAATTGCCATATCTTCCTCTGACTGAGTTCTTGCATCTCTAAGAGATTCGGAACAACCACAGATTCGTAAAGCGGTTGCTTTTCCCCAGCATAGAGAAGCAACTCTGGGCAAGAGAAGACCTGCGCCCAATTTTAGCCAATGACACTTTCTAAACACAAGACAGGCCTAGTAATTTTAAAAAGCATCACTTTGAACAGCACTCTGTGGAAAATCAAGTCCTAAGATGAAACTATTGAGAAATAAATGGGGACAGCCTTGTAGAGTTTAGAAGTAGGGAGGGGAAAATGCATGTATGTTTGTAACCGACATGTTACATAAGGCATTTAGGCACTTAGCACGTGTAAGGTGCTCAAAACAATGTTTGTCTAAAAAGCCAAGAATTTCATATAGTATATTTTTAAAAGTAAGAAAAAGGACTTTGTAAAGAAGGAATACGGGGCAGAGATGTAGCTCTGTTGTTTTGAACTTTGAACCAATAATCATATCTCTTCCCTTCAGTTTGGCGGCCCTGTGTCTTACTTGTGAATAAACATCAGTTTGTTTCAGAGAATAATTGCACATTGAGAGATGCAACATCATAATATTGACTATTTGCAACTATGCACATTTCTGTTTTGAGCAGCCCAACACAGCTGGGAATCCCCAGAAGAAAATCAAAGTACAGACTCTGATTTTATTTGCTGCTGTGCTGATCGTCACTCACGTTCAATCTAGGTGCTCATTTGAACTCTGCATATCTGCTGTGAGGGGTAGACAAGATCTGCTGATTACAGCATGCCTGGATTAATGAGATAGGACTTTCTTATACCCTAGTCCTGAATTCCATGGTCCTGATTAAGCACTAAATCTAGCTTTTCATCCAGAATTCTGAAACCCAAATGAAGTTTGAGCTCTGTCTAAAACAAAAAGCAAGGGTGCTAATTCACTGAGGCTTGTACAAGCTATAATACTCCTAAAAAATTGAATGTAGAAAAATTAAAACTCCCATCTCCCAAGATCTATCATAAAGTAATCCATTGCATGTTGACACTATAAAATTTTAACTCTTGGAAAGGCCCATCAGTGTCGACTAAGAGGATATGCCTTGACCCATCCATGACTCGCTCTAGGTCCTTAGGAAATTTTTATTTGCAGTTCCTGAAAAATATACCCCCCTTGAGCTAAAAATATATTTCAACTTTATACTACATTCTGTCTGTCTGTCTGTCTGTCTGTCTGTCTGTCTGTCTGTCTGTCTGTCTGTCTGTCTGTCTGTCTCTCTCTCTCTCTCTCTCTCTCTCTCTCTCTCTCTCTCTGGTAAGTACAATTTCATCTAATAATTTGAGAGTCACACTGTGACAAGGATGCAATCTTGCATTGTATTAATTTCATGATAAAATATATTTTTAAATACAAATTTCGCCTTTTGGCAAAAGCAAAATGTCACCATTGTTTACACAAAAATAAATTAGGAATTGCTTAATATTTGATACATAATCAGCTTCTTAGATGTCACTGATAATTGTAGGGCAGGCATATAATGTTCACAGGCTTTTTGAAGATGAATGTAATTCTGAATACTTTTTTGTTTGTACCTGGATATTTGTGTATATATAGCTGTACACATGGACATGGAGATACATGGGAAGACAATAATTAATCTGAGGATGGCACAGGTAGGTTTAGTTACAATGTAACTCCTCCATCAGGGAGAACCAATATCCATAACAACTCCCAAGCACCAAATGAATTAACAGAATGTGGCTTAGAAAAAAGAGATATGACTGTGATGCTAATAAAATTTGGAAGCATTCTAGAGAGACATTTATAGTGTCTAAAAGGATACCCCTTAATGGCTCAACATTTTTTCCTGCCCTCTAGGCCTCCCTTGTACTCTGTTAATTAACATAGTGTTAGTGTTGGTGGAATATGACTCCAACAGTTGGAATGGTGGTGGAAAATTCACATTGAGACAAGGATGGCTTCTCCCTGCAAGAGCAGATCAAGAAACCTTAGCATGACTGATACTGACATTACAGATCAAAGTGCAGGAAGCATGAACCCGCAGGAATATACAACAGTCACATTATCATCTATAGGTATAGAGGACACCCACAGAATTTGTGGGTGTCCTCTATACCTATATGCCATTTACAAAAGATCAGAGATCTTTTTTCATTATTCTTGACTTGGCTTCTCCCAAAGAACCTACCCAAAGTATTATGTCACAGTGGCCATCAAGTCAGAGATCATCTTCAGCCTTCGCTGAATGTATGCATTTGTTGAGGTTGACAGCCTGGTCTCTTGAAGGGCTTCTGGAGTGGAAAAATACCATAACACTTATTGTAGCTCTCTTAACAAAATATACTTAGGTTTAGGGAGTTCCTCATCAAGAAGCAGACATCACATTACTACTCTCCTGCCAACATTAATCTATGAACACCTGCAGCAGAAACAATTCATGTCCCAGTTTGGGGTTCTATAAAAGCCAAGATCCTGCATTATCATGCTTTCTGCTACACAAGTCTGCACTTTTGCAAGAAGGAGGTGTTAGCGGAGTGGACTTTTGCAAGAAGGAGGTGTTAGCGGAGCAACATCAGCAGATCTGCAGGGACTTATGCAGACATCTTGTGGGCTGAGCAATTTCTGACTGTCACAATTCTATCCTTTGATTCAAAAGGCATAATTAGATTTTATTTATATTTCTATATCATTAGATATTATTTCCTTTAGAAAGAGGCATAGGATGATAATAACAGCTGTTACCTCAGGGCAAAAAAACTCTCCTGCCATTTGTTTGATAGTGTCTTTCTCCTCCCCACATTCACACAATGC